GCACAGTCCTGTCCCCCACCACCAGTTCTATGGCACTGAGCGTTCACCCCCACCCCAAACAGAGCTGCAGGGAGAACCCCGTGTGGGGCCTCTAGCGCGTTGATTCTGGTGATCTGAAAGAAGAGAGCACCCTCAGCAGAGGGGCCCACCTCAGATATGACTGTTGGTGGCTGCCCCGTGCAGATGGCAGACAGCTTGGCCACATGAATATGGCCACCATCTCCCCTTTCCTCCTGAGTTGCCCTGTGACTACTGGTATGCACTAGTCAAGACCTTGTGGCCGGCCCCAGGCTGCTCTCCTGACTGTCAGAAGCCCCGCCCTCGGCCATGAGGTTGTGGAGCACATGCTTCCTGAAGCACAAGTCACACCTCCTCAGACAGGGTGGCTTTGGACCCAAGGCAGTGTGGGCAATGTGGGCCCAGAGCAGCTCTCCACTGGTGTGTGAAGCCAGGATGGGTCATGGGCCTGCCTCTTTCTCCCATACCTCGTGGCCTTCTACCTTTCTTTTTGTGTGTGTGGCAGTTCACCAACAGGACTTATTTTTTGATGGTAAAATACACATAACATAAAATTTACCATTTTAACCATTTTTAAGTGTACAGTTCAGTGGTATTAAACACATTGACATTGTTGAGCAACCACCACCACCATCTCCAGAACTCTTCACCTTGCCAAACTGATGCTCTGTCCCCATTACACAACAACTCCCCATCTCCCTTCCTCTGGCCCCAGGCCCCACCATTCTATTTTCTGTCTCTATGAATTTGATGACTCTAGAGGTCTCATATACATGGAATCATACAGTATTTGTCCTTTTGTGACTAGCATATTTCACTTAGCATAATGTCTTCAAGGTTCATCCATGTGTGGCATGTGTCAGTTTCCTTCCCTTTTAGGGCTGAGTGTTACTCCCTTGTGAGAATGGACCACAATTCGCTTGACCGCTCATCTGCCAGCGGACACTTGGGTTGCTTCTGCATCTTACCTATTGTGAATGATGCTGCTGTGAACATGGGTGTGCAAAAATCTCTCCCAGACCCTGATTTCAATTCCTTTGGATATATACCTAGAAGTAGAATTGCTGGATCACGTAGTAGTTCTCTTTTTAATTTTTTGAGGAACGACCATACCGTTTTCCAGAGCGGCTGCACCATTTTACATTCCCACCAGCAATGTGCAAGAGTTCTGATTTCTCCACGTCCTCACCATGCTTATTTTGTTTCTTTTTGGTTTTTTTTGTTTTCATAGTAGCTGTCTGTTTGGTTTGAGGTGTTATATTGTGGTTTTGATTTGCATTACCCTAATGAGTAGTGATGTTGAACATCTTTTCATGTGCTTATTGATCATTTGTATATCTTCTTTGGAGAAATGTCTATTTAAGTTCTTTACCCATTTTTCAATCAGGTTTTTTGTTGTTGTTGAGTTTTAGGAGTTTCCTATATATTTTAGATATTAATTCCTATATATTTTAGATATTAATCCCTTATCAGATATATAATTTGCAAATATTTTCTCCCAATCCATAGGGTGCTTTTTTACCCTGTTGATATTATCTTTTGATGCACAAAATATCTTAATTTTCATGAAGTCCAGCTTATCAATTTTTTTCTTTTGTTGCCTGTGCCTTCGGTGTCATATTCAAGAAACCGTTGCCCAATCTAATGTCAGGAAGCTCTTGCCCTGTGCTCTCTTCTAAGAGTTTTATAGTTTTAGGTTTTACATGTAAGTCTTTGGTTCATTTTAAGTTAACTTTTGAATATGGCGTTAGATCAGGTCCTCATCATTTTTAAGGAAATCCTAGACAAAGGAAGGACGTGGTGGAGAGAGGCAGAAGTAGCAGGAAGGGGACAGGGTGCCCGCTGGTGGGGGTGGCAGCCGTACACGAGCTGGCCTGTGAAGAACAGGCTGAGTTCCGGTACAGAAGCAAGATGAGTGGTGTTGCTGGCAGGAGCAGTCCAGGGTGACAGGTGAGCCCTCCAGAGAACAGCCTGTGCCAGGCTGGCCTGGCAGGCTCCCTGAGGCTCCAGCTGCCGGGGAGGGATTTGGGTTTGAGAAGGACCTGAGGCAGGGCGATCAGGTATGGCCGTCTGAGGAAGTGGCTGACATCTCTGTTCAAGTGCAGCTCTGCATGGAGGCAGGGGACTGCCGCACATGACCCCAGGCCATGTCATCTGCTTGAGCTAGACCATGTTCTAAGAGTGGGGTCACTGCAGGGTGCCGTGAAGCACGGACATGGACACCTACGCAACTGGGAGCCTACTTGGCTCAGGTGGCAAAAAAAATGAGAGGAACCTGCTCTTCTGGGTGATCTTTGTTCTTGTCACTGACCAGCTGAGGAAGAAATGGTCATGTGAGGCCTCTCTGTACCTCATATTTGAGAATAGAAAATTGAGAAAAATAGTAATGATAACATGGGGCCCGCGTCGCCTCTGGGAGAGAGGCTGCCGGCTTTCCCACAGTGGGGCAGCACTGACAGGGAAGGCCCTGCGGGCTCTGGGTGGAGCAGGACATCCTGGGCAGCTGGCTCAGGGCTTTGGACTTCTGTGCGCAGGGACCAGGGAGCAGCCCTGGGGCCTTGCCTGACCTACTCATGGTCCAGGGCGGAGAGAGGCCATCCCAGCTGCCACAGTAGACAGGACCTTGTCAATGCCAGGATACTTGTTTACAAACCTTTCTTATGACAGACTTTGAAGGAAATGTAGATAATATGGAAAAATGCAAAGAAGAAACAAATTCCTTGTAGTGCCACAGCCCAGAACTCAGTGCTGCTTGGAGAATGACGTCCTAGGCCTCTCTTGCACGGCACATGCATGTGCGCGTGTGAGCATGTGTGCTGCATGTATTATGTACATGTCATGCAGCGCTTGGAGAATGACGTCCTAGGCCTCTCTTGCACGGTGTGAGCGTGTGTGCTGCATGTATTATGTACATGTCATGCAGGGCATACTTGTGTCCTTGTGCCCGGGCTGGGCATCATCGTGGAACTTCCATTCTAAGCATGATTTCTAACCTCCTTGACCAGCCATCTAACCACTGCTCCCTCAGCAGACGCAGACGGGGTGTTTTCTAGTATACGCCTAGTCCATGGCCGCCTCATGGTCGAGGCTGCCAAGAAGCAGGAGAGCTCCTCCACCTCTCCCAGTCCGATGCCTTCCCTCCTTCCTCCTTCCCACCAGCACTACTGAGCACCTGCTCTGTGCCGGGCTCTGCGCTGCTCCGGGGCCTGCTGTCCTGGCACTTCTGGTCCCTGTCCCTGGAAAGGTGGTGTCAGTGCACAGGCCCTGTTTGGTCCCAGGTTACCAAGTGCTGCCATAGAAGGCAGGACAGGGATGGGATGGAAGCATTGGAGGAGGTGGAATGGGGGGGGGCCCTCACAGTTGACAGCGACAGTGGGGTGCTGGCTGGCACTTGCTCTGGTACCAGGCTCTGCATTGGATACTTTGCCTCTCATGGACACCCGTGACTGGTGAGGGACAAGCTCTGAGCCATGGAGTTGTATGCCCAGGCCACTGAACATTGAGGGTACGTGGAGCTTCAACCCAGGGGAAGAGGAGGCGTGAGAGATGCTTAAAGCACCTCTGGGTGCAGAGGCAGGTGGGGAGGAAGGAGAGGTGGGAACCTTGGCCCAGGGAGAGAACAAGCACTCTGGGCCTGCTTCAGAGCAGCATCTCTGGGACTAGCAAGCAGGGAGGCCAGCTGGGAGGATGTGGACAGATAGGAAGAAGAGACGAGCTCTAACTCTCTGGGTCTGTTGGCCTCACATCCTTGTACCACGGCCTGCCATGGAGGGGATGGGGGTGGTTAGAGGGGTGAATGCTGGCCATGGCAGAATAGGGAGGCTTCAGTAGGCAGTCAGGCAGGGA